TTTTCATATACGACAAGAGCTGCAAGTCACATAACTCCTGTTAGCCTGCATTGTTGTTTTTCCTCCCCTGTCTGTAGAGTAAGAGTTTATTTCTTGAGAGATGTGCTCTGATAGCTATAAGTTATTTAAAGTACTTTGAGGTTCTTGTATGGAAAGTGCCAAAGAAATTGCAAAATTCGTTTTTTTTTAAAAAGAGTTCTACTAATAACTAATTCCATACATGAATAAAATTCTGTTTACCACGTGCAGTGCATAGGTAGAAAGGGAAAATTCAGACCCTCTTACTGACATATGTGCTGAATTAATCCCTTGGAGCCAGGCAGGTAAATTGAGAGCTTGTGTGTCTGTGCTGATGCATTTTTGCATTAGATTTAACATACTTTGATGTCCAACTTGAGTGTTTATTACTTTGACTTAGCAGACCACTGGAACCGCTGCATAGGATGGTTACAATGCAGAAACATACTGCATGTGGTGATAACGATAACTCGCAGAATTTGTGCTTTAATGGGCTAATCTGTCATAGTTCTGAACAACCCTATTGATAGAAGAAAGTGTACTCAAGTGGTAGGGATGTTTTGGTTGTGGGGGTTCTCCCCTCAAATTATAAAATAGTGTGCTGCCGAGCATGGAAGTTGCTTAAACCTCCTCCAGGTTACAGCTGCGCGCGTGCATTAGGGAAAATAATGAGACGTTGCCTTCCTTGTCCTCAGACCCTCTCCTCCACTTCATACGCTCGTGCCCGCACATGCATCCAGTTGCCTTCGGATCCTGCCTTTAAAATAGACGTCGTAAAAATGACTTGCAAAGGTGCTCTTACATGTCAGTGCTTCTCAGATCCCACTGGGAAAGAGAAAGGAATTGCACTTTAGAAAATTCCATAACTAGACCTTTTAGCGACGTCCATATTCTTTTCACTGCTTGACTGCTGCTGGCATAACAAAAAGCGGTTCAAGTCGGTTCTAGTTCTTAATTCACATCACGAGAATTGCTTACTAAATTAGAAGTGTTTCACACCAGGGATTGTGCCTTCCTTATTTTGTTGGGCAGTGTCTAACACACAGTGTACTGCTGGAATAAATTGTAGGAAATTTGTAATTGTCAGCACTGTTGATTGCAGAATTTTCTTTGCAATCATAGTTTTCTGGTAACAGCTAAGCATCTATTTTGGCCTAAAAAATCAAGAATATTTGTTTCTGACATTGCCACACAGGTAGAATGAAGCTAAATTATCTTTTGGATCCTGCGTTGGATTCATAAGATCATGAACTAGGAAAAAAAAGTCAATGCATTTGTCTGGGATGTCCACTAAGAAACAGAAGAAAATTTGTAGTGATGATTTGATATGTGCTTTTCAGTATTCAGACTACACTTCTGTCTCTGAGTTGGTCTTCTCTTGGTGGGAGAAGTGGAACTATATCCATTTGTATTAGCTAAAGATCTGTCACTTTGTGTTTTATGACTGTACAAGCATACGTATATTAATAATTATAATTATGTAGGAGATCTATGCTAGCCTGCATTAAAAACTAGTCACATTGAAATTGTCTTCTGAATGCTGTGGCAGACTTCTCTTGCACCTTGCATTGGAATGCAAATGCTCATTTTCCATAGCTGAATTTGATTAACTTACTGTCAACTTTCCTCGACTCTTCTTTCCTAAACCCTTTGCTTTCGTCCTGTGTGACTCGTTAAGATGGACCACAACTCGCTAAAGAAAAATGAGGGTTAATGCCTGCATTTGTATGTGAGAGTGGAATTTTTCTGCAAATTTATTGCCGTGTGATGTCATTTTGCTTTCATAGTCATGGCCAGTGGTCATGAATCAATATCTCTTCTCCAGCGTTGGTTGTGAGTAAACCCCAGCTCTAGCTGAGGCTTCCAGCATCCCTCCTGCCCGGGATGCAGTGCGGTGCCGGGGAGCGCAGGGAGGAGCCCGTCAGACACACAGTGGGTCAGCCACCTCTGCTTGAGTTTACAGAATCACACAGAATCACACAATGTTCGGGGTTGGAAGGGACCTCTGTGGGTCATCTAGTCCAACCCTACTGCCGAAGCAGGGACACCTACAGCAGGCTGCACAGGACCTTGTTCAGGCGGGTCTTGAATATCTCCAGAGAAGGAGACTCCACAACCTCCCCGGGCAGCCTGTGCCAGGGCTCCGTCACCCTCAGAGGGAAGAAGTTCTTCCTCACGTTCAGACGGAACTTCCTGTGCTTCAGTTTGTGCCCATTGCCCATTGTCCTGTCTCTGGGCACCACTGAAAAGAGTCTGGCCCCATCCTCCTGACACCCACCCTTGAGATATTTATAAGCATTTATAAGGTCCCCTCTCCGCCTTCTCTTCTTCAGGCTGAACAAATAGGTCACCAGGCTGAGCCTACCGTGGGCCGTTCTGCCGAGCGGGTGGGAAACGCCGTCACTGTGAGCATGGGAGCAAAAAGATGCCAAGGACCCAGTTTCATTTGGCTGTTGGGGTAATACTTTTGTGCTGGTTAGTGGAGTCGGTGTGCTGCGCAGCAAGGGGAGTGCTCGTGGGAGATGCAAATGGCGGGGGCATGAGGTGTCAGGGCAGAAATGGCGGGGGGGGTGCACCCGCTCAGGCTCTGTGGGGGAAAAGACAGCCAACAGTGAATGCCTGACTGTTCCTAATGACCAGCAAGACAGTTGCGTGCTTCAGTTGTGTTTATTCCTGGTCCCTGTGACATCTACCAAACGTAGACAACATCGCCGTGTTTCTTAATCACGTTGTTTAGTCTTCCAAGGCACTTCCTGCAGTCCGGTCTCATTTATAGACTGTCTGTTGTCTTATTTACAGCCTCGCGCTTGGCTGTGTGGTGATGTGCGCTCCTGTTTGCATCAGGAGTGCTGTCATGGGAAAGGAATTGCTGGAGTGTGAAAGTTCATAAGTTGCTTTTGTAGTATGTGTTGAGAACCCTGTGTAGAATGTTAGCAGGACTCGCAAACAAGGAGCAGACCAGAAGATGCACCAGCAAAAAGGAAAGGTGGAGCAATATACATGAAGGCTGGACTAACTCCTGCTAATAAGTAGTACGAGACAAAGGGGTATAAAAGTTCTTGATAAAGGGAAGGTGTCATGATTTTGTTCAGGCTGATCTGAGTTCATGCTTCTGCTGCAGCTGGAGAAGGGTTATTGGAGTGAGTTAGCTGAAGCAGCAGCTGAAGGTGGTCAGAGCCCTTTTTTCCCTGTACCTGTTTGTGGCTTTTGGATGTCTGGCGTATTCTGTCAGCTCATCTCTTGCCTTAGCTCTGTGGAAGGGCGTATGTGCAAGCGTGGGTCCATGCCTTCACCACTTCCTTCTCTTTTCTGCGAAGAAGAAGTGGGACTGCACCTCTGGGGATTTCTACAGGTTCTCTCGTTTCGTCACCCGTGATGGCGTTTTGCCGGGTCTCAGCGGAGCGCGTGGGAAACACTGGTTGGCACGGAGGACCGGGCGAGGTGAGCAGGAGCCTCACAGCTGCAGGAGGGTGCATGGGTTGCTGTGTCCAAGGATTGCAGAGCTTTGCTCCCTTGGTGGCTCTCCTGCGGCCACCGGGCTGGGAGAGGGGTGCGGGAGGTTTGTTTGCACGCCCAAAGGGGGACTACCCCTGCTTGAAAAACACGTGCTGTTATTGCCAGGTTACAAACTTTGATGAGCTAAGAGAGAGAGAACTTAAATTCTGCAGAACCCGAGGATATGGTTCTTCCCCTTTCCTCTCCTTCCCCAAAACCCACAGCCTGTGGTATTTGACATGAGATCCTATTGATATTCATGTTCATGCAGAACTATGACGTTTTGTGTAGCTGATTATATCACTGTCAGTGTGTGCTGTATCCCTGTGTATTCACGTGTCTGAGGTCTACTGTAAAGAAGTATTTATACATGGGTGTCTCTGGAGCCGTTAGGTGAGAATATGTGTGCGGGTATGTATATGTGGAAACTGCTGTGCGTTCTGCCTCCTTCCTGACATCCTGGTTGCTATAGTGCAGTGATCTATTTGTGAACACCCAGAAGATCATTGCTATAGTTAAAAGAAACAGTGTTTCCTGGCCATAACTTCCTGGGCAATCTCTTCTCCTGGAGCGCCAGCTTTAACCGCTTCGGTCACGTTCCCGGGGACTCCAGGAGCGACACTGTAACGGGAGCTTCCTCTAGTTTGTCGCTTTTGCCCACCAGCATATTTAGTAATACTTAAAAATAGTTTCTCTATTTCAATCTAATGCATGCCTGTTATTCACTGTACGTTTCGGTGCTTCAGCCATCTTTCTAACGGGCTGCGCGGCGTGTCGCGGCGTTGTGTCCTGTGCTTGCTTCTGTGAGATGTGCCGTTCTGCTGCTCTCGCACGTAGGTACACGCATACGTTTTCATCCACCTGCCCAGCCAGGCAAAACGCAGGAGACCAAGCAGCAGCGCTGGAGTTCTGTCTGAACTGCTGTATTATTTTTATATTCTTTTTTTTTTTTCCCCCCTTCTCCCTGCAGGTGTGAATGAGCGAGACGCTCTGCAGTATTTAGTGTCCAGTTGCACTGGCTCCGGAGAACAGCAGCGTCGCAATGCCCCCTCCTGCTGATATAGTGAAGGTGGCGATCGAATGGCCAGGTGCCTTCCCCAAGTTAATGGAAATAGATCAAGTAAGTGCCTGCGTGCGTGTGCTCGGCCGGCCCAGTGCGTAGAGAAGTTCTTCTCTGCGTCTGTGTCTCTGCATTTATGTTTACATAGATACACGCATGTATGTTACTGTGAGCGCCTGTGTGGTAGAAGGTGTTTTTTACAAGGGGTGTAACCCTCTTCCTCTCTTACTGCTTAATGTTTTTGCTGTATTTAGCTGGGTGTTTTTTTTTTTTTTTATTTCCTTTTTCTTTTTAAACAGCTGCTAGAATAAGGCATTTACTGCTTGTGTGACCCACTTAACACTTTGGTGCCTTAGTTTCTTCAGTTGTAAAATTGCGGTAATGCTGTTATCTCTGGGTGGAAAGTCTTCAAATTTTCAGTCAGTGCTTTGCATTTGGAGTAGGATCATACCGAATGGCTGCAGCAAGTGCAGATTTTGGAACTTCAATAGTGGTGCACTGTGAGCAGGAGGCTCTTTGCTGTTCCATACAGGAATCTCAGGGGCTGTCCTGTTCAGCTGGTTATTTCTATTCCATTTGCAATGGTCTTGTGCACTGATTGGAGGCAGTGTACAGAAGCTAACAAATTCAAAATTATAAATGAAAGACTCTTTGTAGGAAAATGGGGGGGGTGTTTTTTGTGGGAAACAAACCAAATGAAGTTATACAAGTGCCGTGTTTTATGTTCTGGACTTCTCTGAGCTTGTTTTTGTGGCACGTGTGAATATTAAGAGCAACCTCTTTAATATTTAACAGCTTACCATAATGTTTTGAAATCATACAGCACGTTACCTGTTTAGAATAATTATTATTTCTGTAAATAGCATTCAGAGTGAAGGAAAGCATTTTGTAATGTGCTTTAGACCCTAGTGTGTCTGGGGACCAAGTACGTTTTAAAGTTCTATTGAAGAGGAGAAAATATGAATTCATGCTGAAAATGTTTTACTAAAATGAGATCCCAATTTCTTCATGCAGTGCAATCAGTTTCACTTCTAGTTAACCATTTTGTGGCATATGCCTGGGAAATTCTTGTGTGAGCTTTGGAGAAACATGGTACTAGAGGGTTGCTGGAATAACATCAGTGTGATTTTTAGGCACTCTGAAAGCCCCTTTAGGGGAAATGAGAGTTCCCAAGCAGTTAGCACTTTGTAGTTTGATTTCCAGACCTGCCAAGCTTCTCCATTTTCGTTTGCTGAATTTTTTTTTAGTAAGCATATATCTACAGATACAAATCTCTTGCCTTCTGGAGTGACGAATGTTTTACTTTTTTCTTCTTATATAACAAATGATAGACACTGTACACACTGTGTTCAGGGAAAGATGCAGGTTAGTCATGATGAACAACAGCTTATTGCTACCAAGTACATTGGGGACAAAAATGAACAAGTATTATGCAGTAAGCAGCAGTAAAAGAATACCAAAATGATTGTTTTTAATTTACAAAACAGCTTAAAGCAATTCTCAAAAAAACCTTGTACCTTATGTGAAATATTAGCTTACTGTCCTGGAACCTTGTGTTTAACTTTATTATATAAGTTTTAGAGGGGACAAGAAAGATCAATTCTGACTTACTTTGGGTGGAACTCTTCCAACCCTGGCTGCCAAGTTGTCTGCAAGCTTCCTCATGCCACTTTATGGGGAGGAGGAGGAAGAAGAGGGAAAGTAAGGTTGAAAGGGAGAAGGCTAACAGCATCCTGCTCCTGATGCAGGGGGAAATGGGGGAATGCAGTTTGGGGGTCTCATCCCTTACCTTTCTGACATGGAAAATACAGTTGTGGTGACGAGAAATGAAAATGGGAAAGAAACATCCCTTTTTAACACCGATGCACGCAAACCCGCACATTTGCCTTTGTCAGAGATGGGAGCAATGTGGAAATGAGCCCTGAAAACATACAGGGTTGTACATACTTCTAAACACACAGCTTGGCCTTTGGTTCACTTAATGCTAACTTTTCCCCAATCTGTTTCCTTTAAAACATCTATTCAGTTGAAGAGCTGTAGTGGAGGAGATGAATCATACCTCAGATGGCTAGCTGTTGGAGATGATAAATGGGAGGAAGGAAGAAGAAGGCAGAAATGAGAAATGACTTGCCCATTGACTAGGCATTGCAGCCAGTGGCTGTCTCCAAGGTGGGACCTGCTCATTCAGGCACCATTTAGCTATATATATCTAGAAAATCCTAAAAACTTAGCCTTACCAGTTTCTTCCCTCTCTGATGCTTTACCAGCAAAAAGAATGGTATTTAAAAGAACAGCACTGTATTACTACTTTCAAAAGAACAACAAAAAAACCTCCCTGTAGCATGACACAAATTTCAGAGTACTGAGGCTATTCCAAATAGTCAAGTACAAATACTGTATAAGAGATCAGAGGAAAATCTGGATTTTTCTTTTTTTTTAGGTTGCTTGTTGTATACTCTTGGTAGCATTTATTTATATTCAGTTGCACAGTATCCCAATTCGCCTGCTGTGTATACGCATATTTTGCTTAGAATGAAGAGAAGAACATTTTTTCAAAATGAGGAAATGTCATTGTGAAACCACAGTGATTGACTGTAGTGTACTGGAAGGTGTTGGGCCTGAAGAGAGCTCATGAGTATTTTTTCCACTAAATATTATTAAACTTTACATTAGCCCACTCTCCCTCCCTTCAGGCGCGTGACTTCTGACCACCTGGACTTCATGAGGCACAGAGCTTTTTCTAATTGATGCTTCCCACAACGTTTCTGTAGATTTGTCAGCCTGGATTCATCAATGACAGTTTTAACTTTAATAAAAAAAAATTAGTCTCACTGAGTTAGAGACTCTTCACCTGCACAATTAATATATAATTAAGTGCTTTTCAGAACCAGCCTCTGTGCCTAACCTTTCTTCTCGTTTGTTGAAGTGTACTATTTGATGTCAGAGTTTTACAACTGCTTTTTTTTCTGGAAGGTTGCTTTAAACAAGGAGGGGAAACTGCATATTATTTACTGCCCTCTCTTTTACCAGGTGGGGACTAATTAAGTTGCAGTAAACCTAGCAACTGGCTGCTGCCTGTATGCATTAAAGCTGATTTTAAAGCATGCACAAGCTAATGTACTTTTGTGCTTTCTCATTGAGAGATGGACTTGACTGAATTCAGTTACCCTGTTCCTGGATACTTGGGGTTCTTTTTCATTTGGGTTTCCTCCCCGTTTCTATCACTTTCCTCAATTATGAATTTGAAAAATGACATCTAGACTCTTCCCCCCTGCATAAATCCCTACAGGCAATATCAGTACTGTGGTCAAAATTAATTTTGAATGAAAAGATTTGATTATGACTTTAAGAGCTGGATATAGGGATGATCTTCCACTTTTAAGTCTTCATGTCATGTAAGGGGAGAAATGGAAATGGGTTGGTGTCTGAATTTGCACTGGGAACTTTTGTGGACTTCTTAGGGGTGTCGTCTGGGGAAGAAATGAATGGTAGACACTGTCTGCCCGTTACCTTCTTCTCCCAATCTTCTGGCTGATTACTCTGGAAGGTGTTATGAGTAGGGCTGCATGGGCTCTGTACAGGTGAACTGGGATGTTGGCCAATCTCGCCTGTCTTCCCTTTATTTGTCCCAGAAATAGCCATTTCATAAGAGGATGATATTTCTTGTCTTTGGATGGAAATTTGCATACTTTAATCTGTGCCCATTAAGTATAACTCACAACTGTTGGGCTGTTTACAGCACAAATTATTTTAGGTAAGCTAGTGCTGGTTTTAGGTTACCTGGGTACTTTGTTCTGTGGTTTTACAGCTTCGCTGTTCCTGCTGCAGGGGAAGCAGCTTCCAGGAGAGGCACAAGATGGGTACGTGGGGACAATAACTATTTTAGCTTATCCCATTCAAATCCACTCTTGTGTGTTAACACAAATTGTTCTAAATCCACATCTCTCTAAATTTGGGGATGAACTTCCTCACTATTGGAGGGAAACACTGTTCCTACAGAAAGGAGCAATTTGTAATTAAACTTGACTGTACAGTCTCTTCCTCCAGGTTTACTTTTATCTAGGAGGTCATCAAGTATAGATTAAGTTAGCAGATGTGAATCTTTATGTTAACAAAAACAGAAGGCATAAGAAGCTGTGTTCCTTTCGAAGCACGGATCTGGTACTGTGGGGGAAATTCACAGGAGCGCTGTCCAATGACAATTTCATGTTAATACAGCTCAGTGCAGCACATGGGAGGAACGACGGGCTGCTTGACATTGATGCTTGTTCTGTGGTTTAGATTTAGTCAGCAAGTTTATCTTTTAAGAGTGTCTTTCAAGTTGTCTCTTCTCTTCTGCCACTGTATGCTAGAAATGTCATTTTAGTTGGTTGGCTTTTTTGTTTTCTTCAGAGGAATCATTGTACTTTACTGCTCATTAAAAAGAAACCAGTAAGATATTTTTTTTTTTAAGAGGAACTTTCAAATCATTTTGGTCCTAAATCTGGACCCTTGGGGATGGTTAATTGATTAAGTGCAGTGTTTCTCAAACTGTGAGGAGAAATGTAGTTCAAAAGGGATTGTGAAACGCTTAATTAGAGAAAAGAAAGTGGCACATCGCTTCTGCCGTGTGTGAGGACTAAGAATAGCTGTAGTTTCTGCAAGTGCTGTCACTAGTAATGGCAGTATACCGATACAATTCTAGCATCACGAATCTAAATCTATGCAATATTAGTGAGCACCAGCATCATTCAAGTGGTGAAGAAGAAAGGGATATTGATGTCTCTCTGTACCAGAGGCTGTACCGTGAAGCGTTGCTCCCTGCGCTTAGATCTGGCTCCAGACTCTGACTTCTTCAAATCAAGGGGTTTAGTGCTGAGGGGATGAAGGAAGAGAGAGGCTCTGACTTCCTTTGCACAGACCTGCAAAATTATATGAACTCTTATCCAAGAAATGTAATAATATTGCAGTAGCTGGAGATAGTGATGCTTTTTGGTATGAATATTGTAAGATTTCCAACGTTATTGCACACTGTGAGTTTAAAGTAGTTGGGGGAAATGTCAGTGAGTAGAACAGCTGAC